CCCTTCTACTTTCGTCTCCAGGTTTTGGAGCGCCATGCCCTCCGGCTCGCCTTTGTCGTCAAACTCCCTAGTCCCACTTCCGACCTTTATCGCCCTATCAATTTTCCTCACATTCTGTTACACCTTCGACGACAGCTTCGCACTCGCTATGTTAATAAATGTTTTCGTGATCACAATCTCATCTTCTCCGATGTTCTCGCCACCACTGTACCCACTCCGAGAAGCATTTTTGCACCAGCTGATCACCTACTGAACCTTTATTTCATGCCCCTCCCAGCTGACAATCCCGACCACGTCGAGATGCCTATGTCCCCTCTTCCCCCACTTATCTATCCTGATTCATAATACTTGATATACCTGTTGCCAGTTCCCACACAATCTCCATTATGTGATATAGACTGGTTAGTGTTCACCCATATTTCTACGGATTGTCTCCTCCATCTGCAAATATCGCGTTTTCCCCATTTTTCCACTTCCTGTGATGACTTGCACGCTTACCCATCTATTATTCATTTTAACCATTTGTCTTCTTTCGTCGATTGGCCGACGAGAGGGCGTAACCCTCAACCGGCCTCCCGGATCGGAATGAAATAACGCATATTGTTATTGAAATTTCATTCTGTGGTCGTGTCCAGGGTCACTGATAAGGAGTGGAATTCTGCAAAACTAGTCAGGCCCATAGATACACCCCCCAATAAAAGAATAGACCATTCCAAGCTTTTACTTGTTGTGAAATAAATATTTAAACAACTCTATTTATTCAATTATGTACAAGCTGCCCAGTGTTCGATAACAATACGAAGAATTAAATTGTGGCGGAATGCTACAAGTTCTTCAAATACCTATAGAATGATAGGTTTAATTTTTTGTGAGTGTAAAACACTTAAATACACCATTTCGAGTGCTTATATGTGTTTTTCTTATAACAAAGCCACAACGGGGGTATCTGACGTGTCCGCCGAGGGGAATGGAACCCCTGATTTTAGCGTTGTAAATCCGTAGAATTCCCAGCGGGGGTGTATTTTGATGTGTCCATTACTGTATCGAAACCCAATTTCTAGCGTTGTAAGTCCGCAAACACTCCGCTTGCGTTATAAAAGGTATTTGAAAAGTCAATGAAAATGATAGCAATAGCATTATTGCTTTAAACTATACCATCCCTATTTTTCTCTCTAATGGAAGTAACTTAGATATCTTACTTATACTCTGGGTGGTAATTTTGGTTACGTCCTTTCAGCCTCAACGTGTTTGAGGACAACCAGGGGGTGTTCATATAGCTTTTTTTCCGCTTCTCTTCAACCCCGCTGCTTGGTGAGGGATGTCCATATTCGTGAGTATTATAGTTTGTCCTGGTCTGGAGCACACATTAAGCTTAGAAAATCAGGCAGCGGCGCCTTCTTGGATGCGTCGGGTGGGATAATGCACTAGGGCTAAACATTTTGGGTAGGGGAGGAGTGCGTCTGTCGGTCCTTTTCAGGGCTAGGAGGAGGACCGTGGTCCAATTCTCAGAATTTTGCTGTGGGGGGGAAACGGGAGTACCCCGAGAAAACCCACTTTCACTGGTAAGGCGCCGAATAATCTACCTGACCTTAAATATCTTCTGTACGTAAATGCCTTACATAAATTCCAGTGGTGTTTACAATACAATTGTTTTCGATTTAACAAAATGTGCTGGAGGTAATCTGCAAAATGGTTAACCCTAAAAAAAAAGTTTGCCCGTCCTCAGTGTGATAAATGTATGAAAGGTTTGGTTAACCACTCAGGTAAAATAAAAAAAAGGCCCATTACGTCTTCCTTGCCAACAATTATTTTTTACGTGGAGCGTAATTCATAATCCTTACTCAAATACAACACCTCGTTAGAAGATTTAAAACGAAACGTAATGGAAATTTTACGCTGACTTTGTTATCTATATATCTGCTTGACTGTCGGTGGTGAATAAAAATTTGGACTTTTTATCACTTTCCGAAATTGTAGCATCTGATATAAATTATTTAATGAGTGAAATAGTGCCTGGCTCATCGAATATCCAAGGCTTTTTCCACCATTACAACGCTTTTCTGTGTTTCAGCGGAAATAATATGAATGGGTGAAATGGTGCCTGGCTCATCGAATGTCCAAGGCTTTTTTTCACTATTACAACGCTTTTCTGTGTTTCAGAGGAAATGATATCAGTGGGTGAAATGGTGCCTGGCTCATCGAATATCCAAGGCTTTTTCCACCATTACAACGCTTTTTCTGTGTTTCAACGGCAAGGTTGGGGACCTATAACGATAAAACTAGGGTTCGAAATCCCCCTTGTCCTTAGAAGAAAGGCTATATTGCGATCAGAAAGAAGTACGCGATAGTCATCATGAATTAATTTGATCATTAACCGCCAGGATTCTTGTTCTTGGTGTCGTTTATGTCCTTCATGAAAACAAATGTTCAGCAATACGTTAATAGAAAGGTTGTGACCTTGAAAACGAGTGCCAGGTAAACATTTCAAGAATGATAACTGATGAGACACGTGACACTGAATCCACTTGTAAACTTGTAGTAATTTATGGGTAGGTACAGGTTTGGAATAAGCGTCTTGACAAATAGTTCCCCTCTGTTCTTAACAAGTTACTTAACTCTTCATGCCTCCTGGAAACAAGCCAGATGATCCTGACTTCAACAAAGCTTTAGGCATTATAGCTGTAATAATTACCAATAAATGTTTCTAGAATCTGTAACAAATCTTGGTAGTTACATTGAACACGATTGTAGCACCAGTTTTTCTTTTTGTTGTTGTTGTCAGGTTTAACCAATAAAAGTATCTGGAATCTTCTTTGTGTAGTTTTAAATGTATCTGGAATCTTCTCTGTGTAGTTTTAAATGTATCTGGAATCTTCTCTGTGTAGTTTTAAATGTATCTGGAATCTTCTCTGTGTAGTTTTAAATGTGTCTGGAATCTTCTCTGTGTAGCTTTAAATGTATCTGGAATATTCTCTGTGTAGCTTTAAATGTATCTGGAATCTTCTCTGTGTAGCTTTAAGTGTATCTGGAATCTTCTCTGTGTAGCTTTAAGTGTATCTGGAATCTTCTTTGTGTAGTTTTAAATGTATCTGGAATCTTCTTTGTGTAGTTTTAAACGTATCTGGAATCTTCTCTGTGTAGTTTAAAATGTATCTGGAATCTTCTCTGTGTAGCTTTAAATGTATCTGGAATCTTCTCTGTGTAGCTTTAAATATATCTGGGATCTTCTCTGTGTAGTTTTAAATGTATCTGGAATCTTCTCTGTGTAGTTTTAAATGTATCTGGAATCTTCTCTGTGTAGTTTTAAATATATCTGGAATCTTCTCTGTGTAGTTTTAAATGTATCTGGAATCTTCTCTGTGTAGTTTTCGTTGCAAAAGTATATCCTTGAGGTTTACCAAACTGGTCTGTTGCTAAGCCTTTTCGGGACGACTAACAAGTTATCCATATTGCAGGATATCCCTTTTATTTAGGAAACAAAAAAATAAAAAACACTAGGTGAAACAAACGAACAGGTAACTTAAAATTAGTAAATGTAAGTAGGCCTAACATTTATTTAACAACGTAAAATTAACCACTACTAAACTTGCCACTTGTATCTAGAACAGTCAATCTGGAGAAAAGTTCCCATCCAACAAACACCACATCAAAACCCAATAATCTCATGTTTTTCTACATTAATGACAATTTCTAATCTACATATCTTCACTTAACATTCGAATAAATGATTAGCCAGTTGAGCACGTGCAGGTTTTCCGTCATCCTAACGGTAAACGCTGAAACTTCTTACCAACTGATACTCTTCAAATCAATTTCTTTCTTTGTTTTCCTCAAACTTTTGAATAAGAAGGAGCTTTTGGAGACGGTAAAATGGCGTATCAAAAGCGAGACAACAGACGAAACTAAGAATGTACACAATCACCAGGTGGCCGATATAAACATAAACCTGAAAAAAAAAAAACATTTCAGTAGGATGTTAATTACTACAAGTATCACGTAATTAGTTACAATTTTGTTACACATCAAGTACTATTATTAGTTTTATTAATTTGAAAGAGAAAATATGTTCCAAAGACAACTAATTAGCAATTGAAACAAACACAGATTTAATGTGAATTACAGAAGCTATGATATAGTTAAAAACTTTAAAACTGCGGCATCTTAAAGAAAACTAGATGTCGTAGTTTAAAACTGCGGCATCGTAAAGAAAACTAGATGTCGTAGTTTAAAACTGCGGCATCGTAAAGAAAACTAGATGTCGTAGTTTTAAACTGCGGCATCATAAAGAAAACTAGATGTCGTAGTTTAAAACTGCGGCATCGTAAAGAAAACTAGATGTCGTAGTTTAAAACTGCGGCATCTAAAGAAAACTAGATGTCGTAGTTTAAAACTGCGGCATCGTAAAGAAAACTAGATGTCGTAGTTTAAAACTGCGGCATCTTAAAGAAAACTGGATGTCGTAGTTTATAACTGCGGCATCGTAAAGAAAACTAGATGTC